GGGGGGGGGGGGGGGGGAGGGGGGCGGGCAGCAACGAGAACGGGAAGGAGAGAACAGGGGGCGTCCTCATGCTCTTCATGCCGTAGCTGTTAACAACGCGTCCTCTAGAGGACGGAGCATTGGACTGATCACCGATGGCCGATCGTCCCTTCAGACTTTGCCAAGAGATTAGGGAGGGATGAAAATAGGGACCGCATTCACGACCATAATAAGCTTTCGAATTGAAGCAGAGAGGGGGTCTTACGTAACCCTAACCCCGACCCCCAACCCCAAATAAACCAAGCTTCATATCCTCGCCACGGCTGTACTGGAAAAGAGGGAGGTGGTTGCGTCCAAACACAACGCTTGACCGCTCAGCCACTCGAGCCGCACCGTTAACGCCCGACAGAACCATAACGCGAAAAAAAAACTCCGTCCAACGCACCTTCTTCATGTGCTGAGGGCAGTTAGTACACCTGCAATCGTCCCCACAGCTGCACGGTTTCCCCCAGGCCATGGCACACCCGGGGTCCACGAGGCCTGCACGCCACACGCATGGGAGGACGAAGGTCTCATTATCTTCATCAACGCGTGCGACAGGTCATAACCCGGAGCGTCGTTTTGAGTAGTCTACGCAGGTTTTACTAAGTGAGCAAACATACTGGATGAAGTATCGCATGGGCTATATAAGTTGGGGTTAGGGTTGGAGTTACGGTCTGCGTGCCCCTTCCCTGGTCTTTTTTTGGCAACCTTACTTTCTTTGCGTTGTAAGCAGTCCGTCCTTTTGCACACTCGTGCGGCAAAACTGCCCCAAGGTTTTCAGAAAAAAAAAAGCATGCGATCACAAAAACTAAACACTCGAGGGACCCTTTTAGTGCCGGTTGAATAGTGCCAGATGCCCGGTATAGTGCCGGTAAAATCTCTGCACACAGGCGGAGCTCTCAATAGTGCCAGACCGGCACTAATTAAAGCATGCCCGATATAGTGCCGGTTCGGCACTGCTGTCACCCCCAATAGTGCCGGTACTCCGCACGCGCGAAACACACACACGCACAACCCAGGGCAGAAAACATAGACTCCACACACAGAAATAGGGTACACGTGCTGCTGCAGACCCGAACAGCTCTACACAGGGGCGTACCATGCCCTGTGCGGAAGGTGAACTGTGCCAACTACAGGACACCACGCCGCAAGACCCTCATGGTCACGGCTGCCAGGGAGGATGTGGCGGGCGACTGCACGGCATTTGCGGCAGTGTGGTTGATGTAGGCAACGAGAATCACCGCATCTGCAGCGCGTGCGTCGCCAAAGCCGGCAAGCGCAAAGTGTCAGCAGCAGACAGCACTGGGAAGGCACAATCTAAACGTCCGAAGGCCACGAATGGGGGGAGTAACAAGTCTCAGCCTCGTGCGCGGCCAGATTTCAGCGCCAAGTGTGAGATGCTGAAGCTGATGGATCAGAAGGTGACTCATGAGCAGCTAGCAGATCGCTTCAAGTGCTCGGAACGGTTGGTCCGGGATGTGAAGAAGA